TAGGTCGACTGCATTCAAGTTGTTAGATTTTCATTTATTAAACAGCAGCTTAAATAAAAATGGGACAAATATGAACTTAATCTTAGCTAAAATAATCTAAAAGTAAAATATGCATTTTATCCTTTTTTGGAAATAAAGCCTAAGAAACAACATACCTCAACAATTAGGATTATATTGACATGATTAGTTTTAGATTTCTACCTCAAGAAAAAGAAACTAAATTGTAATCCTGATTGATGCATTTCCTTGTACATATAGTCCTAAATTTCTCTCTTCTTAAATCTCTAATTCATGATAGTTGATACAAACATTTAGTTTTCAGAACTGATCTTGATGTGCCTAAATTTATCTACATCATTCCACATCTCTGTTGCTCTTCCCTCTTCACCCTCCACCCCCAATTCACAAACTCCACTGCAAATTCTGTATTTAGAGACATTTAGGATGGTATTGAGAAATAAAGAAAACCACCTGTCCAAATTAGATGTTTGGGGGTTAAAACCTCTGTCTACAACTCATTTTGAACTGTGATAAAATTGTATTTCTTTCTTAATATGTAAAATGAAGAAAAATCACCATCACAAGTCACACCCTAATCTAGTTTAGCACAGAAATAATCACACATAATTCAAAACGGAAGGGAACACTTAGTAGACCTTTTCTTTTTTAAAATGGAAGTTCTCCATAGGGATATTTTATTTACTTGAAAAATACAAAACCCAAGTATTAATAGAATATGCCAGAAGAAAATAAGAGCTCTCTGAAGCTGCAGAAATAAGGAGAGCATGGGCTTTTAAAAATCCTCTGTAAAGGTCAATAAGTAATTGATTTGTTTATAGCTTAATTCAACAAAATATTTCTTGAAAACTCTTTATGCAATAGGATTCACCAACGTATATTTTCCATGACTCGGAAATATGAAAACAAGTGACCATTACTTTGGCAAATACCTGTAAATACTGCATTACACAATTACTCTTGATGAAAATACTACCAGGATGTCCTCAGAAGGGTAAATACTATTCAGCACAAACCTATTTTGCTTAATTTGCTCACATCAGCAGTAGTACATAATAAGAACCCACATCTAATTAAAATTAGGTATAATCTTTAAAGTAAAAAAGAATATGCTTTAAGAACTATGCCCCAGACCTAGTCTAAACTTAATGCAAATTAAGATTTCCTCAGCTATCACCTGCAGGCCAGAGTGGACTAAGATTTATGTAACTCACCAATTAATGCAGATGTTCCGACTTTCACATGAGGCAGTCACGTTCAAGTAAACCCTTTTGATCCAATCTTTCCCTCACTAAATCTCAAAAGGCCCCAAAGTGATCTCTACCCACATATTCATTTCACTATTAATACAATTTGCATTTAACCTACATATATGCAAGATATATAAGTGTTTCATAAAATGTGTAAATGTTCAATCATATAGCGAAAGTGGTCAGACTAAAATATCTGTAACACAAATACACAAAACCAAAATAGCATATGAATTATGTTACCAATTATAAAAACATAAGGGAATTAGCCATAGAAACATCATAAGAAGTAATTTCAATAAAATCTGACCACATGCTAGTCACATATTTCTGTATTAGTCATTCCACACTAAAATGACACACCTGAATACAGTGTGCTTTAAAAGCTTTTCTTTTACTAATCATATAGCCATAACAAGTTACAGATTTAAAAAATAAGGTTCTGATCACAAAGCTAAAAATAAATGAATATCTATATAAAAGTAAATTTAACTTTCAAAAATCACTTTACATAAATGAGTACAGAAATATTAAGCTTAAAAAACATTAAAACATCCATTGCCAGAATCTTTGAAAGGAAAAGAAAAAAGGTAGGAAGAAAGTATCCATGGTGAGGAGGGTGGGAAGGTTAACTGCAGTCAAAACAAAATCTCTTCTTTTTATATTTTTCTTCTTTTTCTGAGAAAATATTCAACATGATGTTAGTAGAATTTGCTTTACTCATCCTGTATTTGTACGGGCCTCCAATTTCATTACTTTTATAAGATTAGATACAGATGAGATTACTGAGACGTTAAAATCTACATAAATTTTAGTAACTTCATTAACTGCCAATCAACAGAGCCCTACACTCTGCCTAAGACTGAATTTACAAGTTCATACTGCATTTTCTACAGTAATCCTTCCTTTCAGGATATGAACAATTTTTTAACACTAAAATTTCAACATAATCCCAATAAAAACTCTAACACCACCTAAAACTATTTCTGTTCTCTACTTCTGACATTAATGCTTAAGTGAAACAAGGCTGAAAATCAAATAATGCAGAAATGTGCCTTTGTCAATAAGTTTATGCTAAACATACCGAATTTCAGTATTTTTAAAAGCACATTAAGTTAGAATGGCTAATTGTTTTATTTAAAGAGTGGATTTGAGAATCAATAAGATTTCTGTTTTACTATTAATGAACTTAAAAAGAAAATGCTTTACTAAGCTCAATCATAATATTCATAAGTTTACAATATTATGTAATAACTCAATGTTGTGGTGGAAGGAAGGAATTGCCTCTTCCCACACCCAGAGAATAAAGTGAGGACTTTTTTTTTTTTAAGTATTCTGAGAAAAACACTTTCAGGTGGCATTTTAAAAAGTCAAACTGTAGTTTATAATTTAAAAGGAATTCAAGTATTAGCAGCATTTAATATTTTTCTACCTAAAGTCGGAAGGTCAGTATTCAAACAAGTTGTGGTCTCAATATGTTGATTATCTGTTAATCACTCAGGGTGACTGGTCATAGCAAATGTTTGGCTAGAGTCATGTAACATATAGAGAAGAGAAGGCAACCAATTTTAGATCTATCAGGGCTGCTGTTTGGAAACAATAGACTAATTCAATGATGGTTTAAAAGAAACATTGTTTCAATTTACTTGGCTGAAGCTTTGTTCTGGGTAATCATAGTTCCCAGTGCTAACTTAATGCCATATGGTATAAAATTTTCAAATATTAACAAAATACCCTGTATAAAGTATTATACCTTCTTGTTAGGACACAGACTGCTGATTATTTCTCCCAATCACACATTGGCATAAAAATAATCATTTCATTCTATATTAAAGAACTTCTAAAGAGCCATATCATCGCCTTGCCTACCTCTATAAGGTTATGGGGCCCAAATTAAAAATATGTGAAGATGCTTTAGGTCATAAAATATTTTAAAAGTTAAGGCATTAAAATCACCTTTAATGATTTAAGAGTAACTACTTATACTCTATATCACAAATTTTCTAGGGTTTAATGAAAGTTCACAATAAATGGAAAATAAGTTTTGTCCCATGCCTTTTCTTTATATTAAGGAAGATGAAAACAATGCCATGATGATTATCAGAGCAAAACACATTAATAATCCCCAAGAGTTTCCTAAGATGTTTTATTTTTCTTTGTATAACTACATGTTTTATAAATCAATTTAAGAGTTTCCTACAGATAGCTTAGTCAAATCAACTGTACTTTTTAAGAAAACCAAGCATGTGAATTCTATTGCCAAAAATTTGCAACTGAAATTTTAAAACGCAGCATGTCTTTTAGCATTTAAAACACAACAGCTGATGCAATAAGGAACATCTCAAATCTCCTTACAGAAAACATTTTATACCTTCAACTCACGTTGAAGTAGTGTTGTTCTAAATAAAAGATGATAATTTTTTAAACAATAGATTTTTGCTTTCAGATACATAAGAACCTTTGATAACTAAGCCCTTTAGAAGAACAGAAGAACGTAGCCTAAATCTAAGCCTAAATTATTTCCCTTACAAGAAAAGTTTCCTATGTAAAGAGGAAAGAAAAAGACATCCTCAAGGTTAGGATAGCTTTCATAGAAAATATTTTTTTTTAATACTGAATAACTAATTAATGGGAATGATGAGTATCATTAACATTTAAGAAAAGACTTCAATGTTACATACAAATAAATGACTCTGCATCTTCTTTATATTAAAAAAAACCTCTGCTGATTAATCAATCTTGTGTCACTACAATCCACATTTTTATATTTTCCTTCACACCTAAAATGGATATAAAACCTAACATTTATCTGAATTGGGGATGAGGTTACAGGGTAGAGAACTTAACCCCTACCAACATGTATATCAACATTTAAAACTTTTTTCTGGTAATTCCATTTTCTGACCTTTTTGAGGTCAGATAGAAATATCAGTATGCTTATAAATGAGTAAAAAGAGAAAAATCAAATGATAGCTGAGAACTGAAGCTTAACAATGTTGGCCATCAGTTATCTACTTGAGAACTTGCAGAACATTTTAAAGTAAAATTTTGTTTTGCACCGTGTTGGCACCAATTCCTCTCTTAGAGAGATTGATCGGCAGACATAACTTGTCTATTTTGGGTGAAGAACCCTGTGAGCAAGACCTGTGTCTAATACTATGGTCCGGTACACTGTTCACTGCATTGCTTTAACAGTTTCAAAACTTCAATTCTTTAACAGAAGATTCAGTTTGAAGAATAGGGCTTTTTGTTAGTACTTCTACTTTTAACCCTTTAATCTCAAGCTAACACTTAACAAATTTACAAATAAGGGAGCAAAACCTCTGATTATAGAATTAAGGATATCTTTTGTTGTAATATAAGAACATATTCTGAAACAGCTGAATGAACATGCACAACACAGTATGATTTTACGAAACATTATACTCTCTGAATTTGTGTAATTTTTCCTTAAGATACCTGTTAATGAGCAATATTTTAAAATTTTTAAATAAACTCCTCACCACTGACCAATGGGATACTGAATACCACTATTTATGGAAAAAACCTGAAATGGCTGCATACAGGTAAGTTAGGTTGTTTGCCCTTCCTACTTTCAAAAGACCACTTAAACTTATTCATATAAAAAAGCACATGAATCTTTAGAGAACACATACAAATAAATAAAGGTTTAAATCTATTAATCTATCTTAAATGTGCCATTCTTAAGAAACAGAAAAGCACTAATCTTACCTTGAGTAGCCATTAGAAAAAACCGTCCGACCAGGGAAGTTCAGAGTCCCCAAGGAAGTCAAGTTGTCATCTCCAGATCCTTGGCACCTATTCCAATTTTCAGAACCAACGGGAATTGGTGGAATGACATTAAAAATAGGCTTCTGATCCTGCTGTTGAGAAAGGGATGCTGTATTCATGTCATAGTGGTACATCTGTCCTCCAGAGGTACTCACACCATGAATAGAAATGGCAGACATTTTATTACCAATTATATTTGCTCCAGGAAAGCTTGCCTGACAGTAAACTGTGCTCAGTTTCTCTTGCTTAATTACCCCAGGGGTGCAGAGTTCGATGAAATCTTCTTTTTCTGTTTTCACTTGGGGCAGTGTTACATTACTGGAGCTTGACAAAACCAGATCTCCATTATCCTTAATTTTAGGTTTAGTGTCCGGTAAAATGAGAGGCTTGCAGTCCTCATTCGAGTTTCCTTCCAAAAGGAATGAATCCTCTTCTCCCGCCAGAGGAGAAAGCAAACAGTTTTCATCTATCAACAGGTCTGATCTCCAAGGACTCTGATTCCTCTCTTTACCTGGGGACCCAGAAGAAAACTCCAAATCCTGCAAAATGTCAAAGGTACTTTGGTCTGCGGTATACAATTTCACATTGCCACCGTTGGTGCCAGTCTGGCCCTTCAAATTTTGCTGTTCTGAAGATACATCAGAGTGAGTTTTTGGAAACTCCTTCTCTTTGGGGGCAGCAGACACGGAAGAGGATGCTGAACTCTTGGGGTTCTCTGGAACACTGGTCGACCTATTGAGGTTTGCAATGCTTTCTTCCAGAAGCTGTAAGTCTGTTTCCCCTGAGGAGAGGCTGATTTGGCCCTGCTGTGGGAATCCCAGGTCATTTCCCATTACTTTTGTTTCTGTTTCTCCCATATACAGTCCCATTGAGAGTGAAACTGCTTTGGACAGATCTGGCTGCTGCACATTGCTTACTGAGCCTTTTGGAAAATCAACCAAAAGCCTTTGCTGCTTGGGGTCTGACTGAGATGCAGCAGCCAGTGAGGTTGAAGATACAGAAACCTTCAGAGTAGCTCCTCCCCTTAGGATTTTACAGAAGTCCATCACATTTCCCCTCTCCTGAGTAAGCACACTACTCGGATTTTCTTCTTTACCAGGAGTTAATGATTCTTTGGAGTCCATCCGTGAATATCAACTACAAAAAAAAAAAAAAAAAAAAAAAGAGAGAGAAAAACACAGGAAAACATCATAAGCTCTAAAGTCACATTATCTTCCTGATCCGATTAGTAAGAGACAGCCTGTTAAATGAACCTTTTAGTTAACTCGGAATCAAATTCTTTGTTGCCAGAAGAGTAGTTTCTATCTTCCAGAATAAAAAGCCATCTCCTCTGCTCCCATTCAGCCTGCCGCATTTAAAAGCACAATGCAGTCCATTTGCACAGCTGAGGGCAAAATTGTATTGAACTAAGCTTGGCTATTCATCCTGCCTCTCACTGAACATGTAACTTTGTTAATCACATACATTATAATTGATTACATCTGATTATTCTAAAGGTTCAAGTTGATGTCAAAGTATTTAATTTCAAAAAAAAAAGAAAAAGAAGTGTGATCATTAAAATTCCTACCTCTTTTCAATCAAGGCTGTTTGCTTTTCTGAGAACCAATACATATAACATTTGATAAATACTATGCTAGAATTCTCAATCCCTAATTACTTCCAAATTTCCCTCCTACCAGCTAGTCACACATCCAACCCTTTGAGTACAACCCACTGGTGAACCATGCACATTTTCTTTGAAAAATAAACAATGCTGATCTGCTTATCTTCCGACAAGCTGGGACAATGCTCTTTTTTTTTAAACCCATACTTCTGACTGGATGTGCCTACCTCCAAATTTCGGGTATATGAAATGAGATACACTTTATATAGGCCAACTAAAATTTAGATTTAAAAGAGCAGAAGAGAAGGTATAGTAGCTTCTCACTACATTGTTTGTTAGCTTACTTAAATAACTTAAATATAGCTGACCTTTATCATAACTCACAATAACATCTAGATTAAGCTACATGTACTTAAATTGCTTAAGACCCTCAATATGAAATGCTATTATATCTCTAAGTTCTTTACTTTCCAAACAAATATCGAGGTACTGAAAAATGGAAAAACACAGAACCGTAAAATCACATTCATATAAATTCAGGTAAAACGGCATCCAGTAAAATGTTCAAAATAATTTTCTGTCTTCACCTATTCAAACCTTCACCTGTGCCAATTCTCAGTCTATTCGCAAGAGAATAAGACTGTCAGTATATTGGTAATCAGGGTGTTTTACGAGATGGGGTAAGACTGAGAAACATTGAGGACACTATAGTCAAATCCCGTCCAATAAAAGGAAACTCTTTCTATACGATGACGTTAGGCAGCAGGTCACTGGCCCTCACTGAAAAGTGAGATGATGAAGGTAGAAAGAGGGGTGTGGACTTGCTACCACAAATCTTGAGGGCAAATTGCTTTTCTCCCCACCCCTCTGCTCTGTTTATCTGATAACGATCTCTAAACACGAGGTATCAAATGGAGCCCAATGTATTTCCACGCCGCTTTTTTGACAGCTGCCTTCAAACCCGAAACCAAAACAATACTTACTAAACGAAAACGCTCCCTCAAGCGACGTTATCCCTCAGTTTAAGTTGCCAATAACCCTGCCACATTAATCGGCCCTAATGAACCATGCCAAAGGGTCTTAAGTGGTATTACAAGGTTGCTATTACCAAGTCTGCAACCCCAAACGTCAAACTAGTACTTGTCAAAAATCGCAACACAAAACTATTATGGTTAGAGAGGGTCTTTTTCTAAAAGGGGCCACTTAAAAACCTCAGCAGAGAATTGACAACAAACGCTAAAGAACCAGCCCTCCCGGGGCTGGGGGGCGGGGAGGGGGGGGGGCTAGAAAAAAAGTGCGAGGTTAAAAGAGAAATATGCCCAGACCTGTTGAGTTCTCTCTCCGACACGCCCACTTCTACCAGATAACGCCAGCCCCGGCCGGAGTGTCCAAGTTGCAGGCTGTCAGCCCCCCGCGTGTGCACCCTGAAGCGCCCCGCAAGCCCTCCCCAAGCCAGGCGCGCCCGGGCCTCCCAGGAGCCGGGGCTCGCGCTCGGGCGCGCCGGGGTGGAGTGCAAATATTCGGGCCAGTAGAATTCAGACGCGGCTTAGCGTTCACCACGAAAATGGGTGTCGGGCGGCCCCCTTGGAGGGAAAGAGGGATTTTGGGGGGAGAAAAGAGGCCAGGATTCCCGCGGGGGAACGGGAGGCTGGAAACACCCAGCAGTTCGCAGTTCGCCAAGGCTCCGCTAGCCGTCCGAGCTCAGGTTCCTCCCCCTCCGCCCGGCCGGGGGACGGCAGCGGAGAGAGGAAGAGGCCAGTGCTGTCACCCGCGCGCTGCCCTTTCGTCACCATCGCATGGCCCTCGCCAGCCCCCCACCCCCACTCCCCCAGGCTAATAAAAGTTTGCAGGCTCCCGCGGCGGCCCCCGAGTCGTCTCCGGTCCCTCCGGCACCTCGGGGGAGCAAGCGCCAGCCCACCCGGCCCCCTCCCCTCTCCGCCTCGCCTCTTACCTCTGGCAAAGGCGCCGCTCGCCCGCCACCGTCCGCAGCTCCCGCCGCAGCCGAGATAAACAACTTAGCGTGTGAACGCAGGAGCAGGAGGGAAATTTTTTTTTTTCTAAAAAAAAGGAAGTAAACAGCCGCCCCCTTCTCCATGGGTTGGGGTGAAGAGCCCCTATTTAAGAAAGTCTCCCATTGCCCAGCTGACAAGCCAGCCCTCCGCCCCGCGCCGGGCTCCGCTGGTCCCGGCTTCCGGGCGTGCGTGCCCCGTCCCGGCGCCCAGCTGCTTCGGCCGCTCCGGCCGCTCCGGCTGCGGCGTCTTCTTCCACCCACTGAATCTGTCCCCGACGGGCGGGCGGTGACTCGGGCTCCAGTCACAGACACGAGCTCGCAAAATGGAGGAGGAGGCGGCGGCGGAGGGGAGGGAGCGCGGACACGCGAAAGGGCCGCCTGGTCTGGGCGAGCGAGAGGGACCGAGCGGGGAGCGGGTGGAGGCGGCGCCACGGCGCGCACACACTCGCACACACGCGCTCCCACTCCACCCCCGGCCGCTCCCCGCCCGAGGGGCCGCGCGGCGGCCGCGGGGAACGGTGCAACCTGTTGGTGACGCTTGGCAACTGCAGGGGCGCCCGCGCCCCCGCCCCCACGCCCTCTGCGAGGGCCGGGCCACCCCGGCCCCGACGGCGCCGACAGGCCCGTGGCCCCCGGCATGGCTGCCCCCACCCCCAACTCCCCAAGAAAAAGACAGGGAGGCGGTGGCGGGGGCCGACCTGGTCTCTCTGGGGCGGCGTTAGGAGGGCCACCGAGTTTCTCCAGTTTCTCTGCTCACTACCTCCCTCCCGCCCCCGCCCAGCTCCGCGGCTCCGGACCCACTCGGGAACTCGCTGTCCCTCGGCGGCAAGCGCGGCCAGCGCCCCTGCGGGTGACAGCGGGCAAGCCAGAGGAGCCGGGGCACCGCCCGCGGCAGAGCTGCGCTAGTGGCCCGCGCCCCCGCTCCCGGGCCGAGTTGCGTGAAGTGTGTCACTACGAAAGGCACTACGGGTTTGCACCGAAAGGGTGCCGCAGCGTCTCGGCCGCGCTCGGGGCCGGGCGGCCAGACACGCCCTCTGGGGAAGCTTAGAGGAGGGGACCGGAGAGCGGGGGTCGGCGCATACGTACTCTGCGCCCGGCGGGAGTCGCGTGCCGGCAGGTCCCCCACCCCCGCATCGTCTGGGAGGCCCGGTCTTCAGCCGCTGCCACGGCGCTCTCGCACTGGGAGAGAAGTTGCAAAGCAGAACCCACCCTCCCCCGCGCCCCGACCGTCCCCCACCCTCTTCCCCGAGTCTGCGAGGCGGCAGCGGCAGAAGGAGGCGCCGCCTGCCAAGTTCAACCCCCACCCCTCCCGCCCAGTGCGCTCACACTCGAAGGAAGTTGCTCGCCAAATGCAAAACCTCCGGCAGGCTGGATTTCTTTGCACTTTTTAAAAAATTATGATTAAGGAAAGCAGGGGGCGGGAGGCCTAAAAGCAAGTTGCCGGCGAAATAGTAAGTTGCTGGCGAAGTATGATAACCGCCCCCTTCCCAAACTCCTGACCTCTCCTTCCACCCCGGCCACGGCCCGCGTCCAAGTTCTTGGTGCAGGCCCCACCCCCGAATCTTGACATTTGCTGCCCTCGACTCATGCGTTGCTCTCCCTATCGCGTTCATGGGACCTAACCCTACAAATAAAACAAAACACACGCAGCTTTAAAATGCCAGCGTTGAACTCCCTACAGCTGTTCCTGTTACGAGCTTCCCCCTCAGGCGGAGGGGAAGGAAACACGTGTCCCGTCCCGAGAGAGGAGAGGGCCGTGGGGCGAGGGGTGCCCTAGCGGGAAGCCCCCGCCCCAGCTCCCTTCCCCAGCTCGCCGCGTCGGGAAGGCTTGGGCGATGTCGGGACCGAGCCTCCTACCTTCTGCGGCACAGATTATGATTTTTGTGACTCGGGGAAAGGTTGTGCTGTGTGGCTTTAGGGTTTGGGGAGGTAACTTTTGCGCCCCCACAGGTGACAGCACTTGCCAGTTCCTGACAGGGGCGGGGGCTGCCGTAGCTCCACCTAGTCCTGCTCCGGCGCGCGGCCGCAGCCACTCTCTCTCCTCCCGCCGCGCTCAGACTGACGGCGGCCGCCTCTGCTCTGACATCTTTTAGATGATTGGGGAAGCGCGTCCCGGAAGCCGCTCACCGCCATCTTGGTAGAGGACAGTGACGCCAGCCCGGCCCTGCTGCCACCATCTTGGCAAAGGTTCGCGATCGCGGGTAGCCTAAGCCGTCTTTCCTTGATTCTGAAGGATAAACGGTGCCCCGTGCGTTGCCTGGTGTGAAAGGAAAGGAGTGAGTCTTCAGCAAGCCTCTTATCCAGAGACGATCTCCGGGGGCCGCCATCTTGGCAAAGGAAGAGATACTTGCCACCTCGGAAAAGAAGAGGGAACCCTATGCCAGCCTAGAACCCTCAGCCAGAAGAATTTTTATGAAGTGCGCTGAGCAACTCCATGTTAACAAAACCCCTTTCTGGACAGAGAATGCAGACTCCGTTTCTCCTGTCCCTTGGCACGAGTCAAGCAAGGAGGCCCTTGCTTTG